GAAGTGGCGCTGTGGCTCAAGTGGTAGAGCACTAGCCTTGAGCTGAAGAGCTGAGGGACAGCGCCCAGGCCCAGAGTTCAGGCCCCACGACCAGACCCCCCCCCAAAAAAAAACAAGAATCCCACAGACTTTCCTGCCTTGATTGACCTCAAATGATGATCCTCAGATCTCAGCCTCTTGGGTAGCTAGCAAGGATTACAGGCCTGAGCCACTCTACCATGCATCTGCCTTGTTGGTGTGATTTGCCTGTGTGAAGTTCAGTTCCCCATCTGGAAACTGAGCCATAGACTGTCCCAACCCCAGTGGTCTCCAGCCTAGGGGTTCCATCAGTCCATATAAAAGAGGCTGCCAATCTAGGCAGGTGGCACAGCTGGGCTCTGTGCCTCAGTTCTACAGCAGATCCCAGAACAATTTGTTATAAGGAGAAACACCAGCCTCCCTTTATCTCTGGGCAAAGCTTTCTTGGTTTGGGGCAATTAACTAGAAGTAGCTTCAGCCATGTGGGCGTGGCCCCTTGAAGATCAAAAGTGCAGGTTGCAGGCGTTAATTAAGTCATTATCCAAGGCCCCCTTAGGCTAAGGATCAGGCCCTTCCAGTTCGGGGCTTCCCAAAAAAGGAGATAAGCAGTGAGGCCAGGTGGAAAATAGACCTCTAACTCCCTGGTAAATATTATTTTCACTTTTAAATACACAAGCAGAAATGAAGTCTAAAATCCACTATGAGCAGACAATTGCATATGGTGAATGAAGACCTGTGTTAAGAACATTTGGTGGCTTCAGGAAGTGACAGACTAAAATCTAGATCCTGCCTAGGACTGGAGCCCAAGCTCCAAGAGCCATGGAACATTTAAACTGGTGGCTGAGGGCTGGGAAGGTGGCTCAGTGGTAGAGCGCTTGCCTTGCATGCGTGAGGCCCTGGGTTCAATTCCTCAGCACCACATAAGCAAAAAAAGAGCCAGAAGTGGCGCTGTGGCTCAAGTGGTAGAGCACTAGCCTTGAGCTGAAGAGCTG